AATAGGGGGTTGGATGTTAACCACTTTCGTTTCCATATTACTATAAACTATGATAAAAGTTCATCAGCATGCATTGATCAATCCCATGTTGTAGCAAAAAAATCATCAAGCAAATCATGTGCTTATGTGACTAACTGAGAAAGTTAGTCACAAAAGAGCAACCCGTGGGAAGAATGAGTCTAGAGTCAAATCTGCAGAGCCCAAGAGTAAAATTTTACTAAATAACTTTTACTTACTTCTACTGTCAGTTAACATGTTCAAGTCAATATCTTACCTGTTGTCTGGTTTCCTTCTTTAGCAACATCATCCCACACTGATTTCAATGAAGGTAAATACTAAAATATTTCTTGTATACATTTTTTTGTTTACATTATTATACAGGTATTTTTCTTTTTTTCTTTCTTTTTTTTTCTAGCTGTCATAATCAAGAAATTCTAAAAGAACAGATGGGCACATTAGTTAAATTGGTCTACGACCTTAAAAAACTGTCCACTACAGAGGACAGCCCCACATTAACTTCAGAGGATTTCCCGATGTCAACTCTCCAACAACTTCAAGTTATTGAGGGCAAGCTGCAGCAGGAGGATTTCAAGACAGCATTGGTAAAATTTCATATTTCACTAAAAAAACAAATTTTTTACAATCAGTTTTCATCTTTTGCTCATTGTGAATGCACTGTGAATAGTAGGTAGTGAACCAAAATGCCTGTTTCCACGGTGGTGGTAAATACAACCCAGTCACATGTGAAACTCGTTCCTGAAAACATCACCGGGTGGTACAAAAGAACGGTTGGCACCATTGCTCAATAAAGCAGGAATTTTCACTTGTGAATGAAGATAAAATAACGACAAATTACTGTTAAACTTAATAAAGATAATATAGCATTATAACAATTAATTAACTAATTATTAATCATAAAAATTCCTAATGTTCCAGTTATTTGACTACTGTTACAGTTAAATATTACAGTGACTGGCAGTGCTTAGGGGTGTCGAAATTAATCAATGCATTGCGATGCAGACGTGGACGATTCTGCATTGATGCATTAATAGACCATAATCGATTATAGCCTATTGACGTCATTCGCATACGCGCTTGTCACGCGAGTATTAAAAATGCACTCTCCATTTTTAAATCTGAGCTTGGCTTTTTCCCGCATATGGCACGTGTGTGTGTGTGCTAGAGACAATCGCGGCCGGCTTCATTGCACAGAACATGCGTTGTGAGATACGTCCGTATTGCTTGTGCTTCCACTCGCTGTTATTTTAGTCTTTTACTTTAGATATCTTTCATTTATGCCGTTTGGAATGCAGTACGTATTAGATGCATGAAACTCATGTACTGACAGACTTTCACATGCGCTTTGTGTTTCCTGAAGCTCACGGCTGCGGTTAAATGCACTTGCATCTACCTTTATGATACGAAATTGATGTAAACACTAGGGATGTGCGCGACGACTAATTTGACAGTCGTTTAAACGAAAACAATAAGATTCCTGCACTTGAAAAAACGCGCCCGGCAGGAACTGAAGTCGCAGGCAAGCAGAGATAACGAAAAGCAGCCGATAGAGTTTCAGAAAGCGCCTGGACATCCCGCACCACCACCACTATTGTTTTCAGTGTCGACTAGTAGGAGCTGTACCGTTTAGTCGACTAGTCGACTAGACCCGCACATCCCTAGTAAACACATTCAGTTATGTTTTCAGAACAGGACAAAACATCTGTTATGTCAAAATAGATCTGTGCATTAGTGTGAATGCAGCCTATTAAAGCTGCCACTGTCTATGATCTCATCAGTAATCAAGCAGCAATAATGCTGAGGAAAAACGAAAAACCCATAACTATGATTGTCTGTCTGACCATCTCAACTGTTTTAGTTTTAGTCTAGTTTTAGTCCACTAAATATCATAAGATTTTAGTCGACTAAATCTACAGTAAATTTAGTTGGCTAAAATCTAATGGGTTTATTTAAAGTGTAATGCATTTATTAAGCATTTCCAGGGCTTAAAGTTCTCTGGCACCGTACCGGATCTCCGGCGTGCAGCGTTTGGCTGCGGAAAAAAATAATCCTACATTTAAAAAAAACTTGTTAATATCACTTTCGAGTCCATGAGTTCGCCTACCAATGGTATGAGAGGAGCACAGCTTTGACTCTCAAACGAACTAACATTACTAGCTAATCAGAATTTTTTGCTCTTATAAACACGAGATGTAGTATCCAATTGCAGAGTCGCAACCCAGTATAGGATAGGTGCATGTAAACACTTGTGTTAGCAAGGCAACAACTAACACATTTTTACTACAAGCTCTGTTATCAGCCTCACAGTGTAAAACAAAACCATATCAGTCACAAAACAGAATCCTTAAAGTATGGGAATGTTTTGACCCAGTGGTGGAAAAGCAGCTATAGTATGCATTCATTCAAACTGATTTTGCTGAATTTCTAAATGTGGACATAATAGTGAGCACTTGCCAATGAGATTTTATTTATCCACTACTGAAGGAATGGTGACTTTGCTTATTCTTAAAGGCTGAATAATTCCAAACAAACTTTTGTTCACTCACTCAAAGCTGAGGTTTGACTCTTGTGTCTTGACTTGTGCATGAAGTAACTTTTTTTTAATTACTTTTTTTTCCAATTGCAGAGTCGCAGCCCTGATGAATGGAGAAGCGCGACACTTTGAAAAAGCTGCGATGCGCAATGGTCAAAGATGTCCCTCTAGCGCATATTTTCAAAGAAAAACTAAACTAATTAAAAAGCAGCGGAGCTTTGTAAACAGCTAATCATGACAGACAGTAATCATGTCATCTCCATAAGAACGATATGATTGCCAGAACAAATTTACCGGTGTTTTTGAAAAGGCCCTGTCCACACATGATCTCTTAATGGTAACTTACCGCTAATTTACCAGTAAAGACTGTATGTGTGAAAGGGGCTAAACTCTTCCTCTGCATATGCTGGGAATTTGAATTGCTTAACGTTCATCTGGGAAAACAGTGTGCATCTCACTAGATTTGTAACATAAATCATTTATAAACCTTTGTCAACACAGGAGAATACATCAATCTATTTCTAAATATGCCATTTATTGTACATCACGATATCAAAATAAAAGTTTCTTAGTTTGCATGTGGCCAAATATTAAAATTTAATGGATTTAAACATTGTTTAATCATGCTGTAAAGTGAAACGTCACCAGGCCATTAGCGCCCTCTGCAGGTATTTGTTATAATACATAAAGTACTGAAGTTGGTTATGTTCATATTATGTATAGGCATATTACATTGTTTTTTAACAGTGTTGTTCAATACATACCTCGGGTGTGCATTATTTTTCTAACAAGCATCAAACACCAGTATGAGAGAAAAACTGGATGTGACAGTACCTGCAGCACAGATCATGCCAGTGGTAAAAATTAAGCCGACGAGTTTGCCCAAGTTCAGTGGTAATAAGAGAGATTACTATTGCTGGAAAAGGGACTGGGAAAACCTCCAGAGGCAAGGTGAGCCCACCGGGTCAGCTGAGGTGAAAAAGATCCAGCTTGTGGATAGCGTTGATGACAAGATCGCTAAGGAGCTCAGATTATCCTCCTACAACACTGCTGCTGACATATTCAGGGTGTTAGAGAACCGATATGGTAATAAAATCACAATTGCCATGGAAATTGTCGAGGAACTGGAGAAAATCCCAGCTGTGAGAGAAAATCAACCAAGAAGGGTTATAGAATTAATCCAAACGGTGGAAAAAGCCCTGGCAGATCTCACAGATCTCGGAAATATCGGCGCAATCAAGAACCCACTTGTAACAAAGTCCATTGAGAGCAAGTTACCTGAGTTTGTGAAGAGAGAATGGCTGGTCTACATGACAGATCCTGCAAATGGCATCACACCAGAGAACAACTTTGATGCACTACTAAAGTTCCTAAAGAAAGAAGAAGAAATTCTTGAAAAGCTTGAGCAGCTCAAGATCTCAGAGAAAACAGAAAAGCCAGAAAGGAAATCTGAGAGGTATACTTTCACCAGAACGACAAAGAAAGTTTATACAGAAAGTGGATGCATCGTGTGTGGAGCAGAGAAACATAGGGACAAGATTTTCTTCTGCAAAAAAATCAAAGAACTAAAACTATCAGAGAAGAAATAAATTGTGAGAAAACTAGTAGCATGTAAAAAGTGCTTGAGGTGTCATGAGGATGACAACAGGTGCAGCGATAACTACCTTTGCAGGAACAAAGACTGCAAAGGAGGAGCCTCCTCAGACCACCATTACTTCCTTTGTCCAAAATGGGAACTCAAGAACCTGAACGAAGGTAAAGCTACCAGCAAAGACCTTAAGAAAGGAAGCAGATTGACAGATGAGCAAGAATACATTTTGGCTGAACTCTCACCAGAATTGGCAGAGAGGTGCAAAAAAGCATTCACCAACAAAGTTAAGACTTAAAGTTAAGTTATTATGATGCTGATGGAAGTAACCACAAATGCAGGACAGAAAATCGGCACTCTGATAGACCTGGCCTCTGATACAAATTACATCTCCCATGAAGCTGCTGACAGACTAAAGCTGAGAGGTGAAAAAAATCACCCTAGTAGTTCATGGAGTTGGCAAGATGGTGATTAGAGTAACCACAAAGAGATACCTCCTCAGGGTTAGAGTCAAAACTCCTAAGGGGACAGAGAAAGCTCACCAGTTGATCTGCTATGGCTTGGAAGAAATCGCCAAAGTTCATAGAATCGTAAGTCCAGGGCAACTTAAAAGATTCTTTCCAGAGGTAGACATTGGAAAACTGAAAAGACCTGGAAAAATGTATCTCCTTATCAGCCATCGAGAGGGCAGACTCGCGCCGCAAAGAGTGAAGATTGTGGGAGATCTTGTCTTGTGGGACAGCCCGCTGGGGAAAACAGTGGCTGGAGCACACCCAGATCTGTTTGAGATGGTGGATATGGCAGCATATGAGTCTAAGACACATTTTGCTCGGTCCATGAGGACGGCTGCAGTCAGGTATGAAGAAATCCTAGAGAAGGTGGAAGCTCGCACCATTACTGAGACTGTCCAAGGGGGTAAAAGTCCTGTCGCAGAGACAAAAAGTTCAGCAAGTAACCGAGAGTTTATTGACTGATGGAAGTGGGACAGTATTGGCGCAGCCTGTGAGCCAAAGTGTGGAGGTTGCCGCTGTGGAAATTGTCAGCCTGGAGGGAAAGAAATGACCCTAGCAGAAGAAAGGGAACTAGAGATCATAAGAGAGGGTCTCACCTATGTTGAAGAGGATTCCCACAGCACAGCTCCACACTGGGGTACAAAGTATCCATGGATTCAGGACCCAGCTACACTTCCGTATAACAGAAGTGAAGTAGAAGCTGCTTTCCTTAGAACAGAGAAGCAACTGGAGAGTGTGCCTGAGTGGCAGGGCGTTTTACGCAGCTCAAGTCCATGACATTGTAGAAAGGGGAGCAGCAACAAAGCTTACCAAGGAAGTTATTGAAAAATGGAATAGACCTGTTTGGTATGTTAGCCACCTGGTAGCACCAAATCCACACTCAACTACCACTCCAGTGTGAATTCAAGGGCCTAAGCATGAATGATCTTCTGTTGAAGGGACCAGATGTACTCAACCCTATCAGAGCTGTTTTGCTTAGATTCAGGAAGGGAGTATTTGCTGCTCTTGGTGACATTAAAAAGATTTATAACTCAGTGTGGCTGGAGCGTGAAGTACATCTTCACAGATTCCTTTGGAGAGATGCTCAGGAAGAAGAAATAGGCGAGTACGCTATCACAAGAGCTAACATCGGAGATCGCCCTGCTGGATGCATTGCACAGGCAAGACTGGCAAAGTTTGCTCATTTGAAAGAGGAGTGCAGAGTCCTTGAGGAGGACAGTTACGTGGATGACATCCTCACATCCCACAATGACCAAGAGAGACTGAACAAGATAATAAATGGGCTTGAAGAGATTCTAACAGCTGGCGGATTTGCACTCAAGCCATGGGTTCGGTCAGGGCAAAGTGGGAGGAATGAAGCTGGTGCTCCAACTCAAGGTCCTGAGGAATCAATCTTTCAAGCTAAAACAATCGTACTCCCAAACCAGCTAAGAGACGAAGACAACAAGGCTTTAGGCACAGGATACTTGGTAGAAGAGGACAAGCTGGATATTATGTCTTCCATCAACTTCTCAGTAAGAAAAAAGAAGACGAGAACGGGTCAGAACCTCTTGAAAAGTGAGGTGAGACTGAAAACACCAAACCCATTGACCAGGAGGCATCTGCTAAGCCAAGTTCCTGGCCTCTATGATCCAATTGGTCTTGTCACACCAGCCAAACAAAAGGGTGCAATTCTTGTCAGGAAAGCATTCCAGGAGACAGGTAATGGAAGCTTAACCCGGGAGACATGGGACAAGCCACTTTCTGAGAACCTCAGGGAGGAAGCCATCAGACTGTTTGAGGAGTATGTGCAGATTGGTCAAGTCAAGTTCCACAGAAGTCTCACACCAGCTGGTTGGATAGGAAAACCTTGGGGAATCACTTTCTCAGATGGTAGTGACAAAACCTATGGAGCTGTATTGTACCTAAGGTGGAACACGGATCAGGGGATAGACGTAAGACTAGTCGAGTCTAAGGCCAAATTGACACCGCTAGACCAGAAAAGAGATGCTGTGAAGGCTGAGATCTGTGGTGCAGTTTTCGCTGTACGTCTCAGGAATAACTTTGAAAAGCATGGGCGGATGGAAGTTGAGCGCTGGTTCCACCTGGTAGACAGTCAAACCGTGCTGGGGGCCATTCAACGTGATAGCTATGGGTACCAGACATTCTTTGCAAATAGTGTTGGAGAAATACAAAAGTCTGGGTCAGTCAGTGACTGGTGGTGTATCCCAGGGGACGTCAATATCGCAGACATCATCACTAGGGGGAGCACTCCTGAAGATCTTGCTGAAGAGTCTGAATGGCAGAAGAGACAATTCCTCAGACATCCAGTGGAGGAGTGGCCAAAGAAATCAGCAGCCGAGGTTGCAGCTGATGCCAAGGAAAAAGTTAATAAACTTCAAAGGAAGACATTCTCAGCAGTTCTGACAAGAGCTCAAACAAAAAAGGACCCGGGAGAGACAGAAAAAGAAAGTCCCAATGAGTCAAGCCTTGAGGGTAGGAGAGATTCAGTCAATGTTGTTTCTGACTCTGGCATCTGTGAGAATGCAAAGGAACCAAACTTACCAAGAGGAGCACCTTGCGCCTTAGTTATTAAGAAACTAGTGGATGTGGAAAAGTTCAGTAACTTAACCAAACTAGTCAGAGTCATCGGCTGGGTATGGCATGGTATAAAGAAGTGGTTAGGAATCAGGAATTGGAACCCAGAGGTTGGAAATCACAAAGTGGTGTCGGAAAATGAAACCAAAGAGACTGTACTGACCGTAAAAGAGCAAGAGGATGCGCTGAAAGGCCTCTTTCTAACAGCTCAAGAGGGTGTTACTTTTCCTGACACTACACTTAGTAGACTAGCTGTGTATAGAGAAGACTCAGGGCTCTTAGTATGCGGCGGCAGAATCCAGATCTTTAATGAAGAAAAGGTTGCAGTTCCAATATTACCTTTCAGTAGTATTTACGATTCACGTTATGTCATTATTTTTGATTGATGACTTTGACATTTGACCCGCCCCCTTAGGGGTTAACCTTATGACCTTTTTAATGACCATGATTAACCTGTGACCTCTATCATGAAGTAGGCTATTGTCCTTTAATGTTCAGCGGATGTTCAATGCCATCTGTTTGTATCATATATCCGGAGTGACATATTTAACCTGTGACCTCCATCATGAAGTAGGATATTGTCCTTTAATGATCAGCGGATGGGTTTTGTAATATATCGTGTCACACCATAATTAGCCCACGATCTCCATGGTTGAGACATGAGTCATGTTTGAACTCGATCGCCCGGGACAGCTATGGACCACATGTGCTCGTATCAGGTGGAGCTCCATAGCGTACTTGTTTAAATAGAGCAGGCCATTTCTGTGGAAAATCAGAAAAGAGCTGATAAATGAGAAAATAATACAATGAAATAACTCAGATTATAATAATTTATCTCTCTCTCTCACACACACACACACACACAGGCAGACTATAGAACACAGGAGTCAGGCTCTCTCTCTCTCTCTCTCTCTCACACACACACACACACACACACACGCACACACACGCTCAGGCGCTCAGGCAGCCTATAGGCCCTGCTTGGCAAGGGACTTGTATGTGCCACAATCTCTGGCCACTTAAACTCATAAGGTCTCTGTATGTTTGTGACCACCGGATGTTGGTCAGACATGCGGGACTCAGGATCGCGAGAGAATGTCAAGGTTGTTGAAGATACTTAAAAACATAGCAGACAACTGTTCAAGCATTGAATTGCTTATAGAGGCCTTACACACATATACGAGCATAAGACTTCTTTGTCTGTCTGAAGCCGAGCAGATGCAAGCGACCCCAGGGTCATCATTATGTTGCCTCAGGATATGAGAGAGATTTCTGAGCGTTCGATAACAGAAAATATCAGAGCTATCTCCGCCCATACTTCAGCTCTGCCGCATATAAATTGCTTGGCACTATTCCAAAAATCATTCAGCTGTGAACAAACTTCCATCAGTTTCAAATAATTGCTCTACAACTTTTTCGGCAATATTCAAGATGGCACAGGAACGTCATAGTAAGTACAAATTTTAAAGATTAATTTATGCTTTTAAGAATGTAAAAATGTACAGCTGATTACAATTGATAAATAGGCTTATAATTTCACAGATGTGCAAAGACAATTTGGTGTGGAATATTCTGCATTCGACGAAATGTTGTTGAAGATACTTAAAAACATAGCAGACAACTGTTCAAGCATTGAATTGCTTATAGAGGCCTTACACACATATACGAGCATAAGACTTCTTTGTCTGTCTGAAGCCGAGCAGATGCAAGCGACCCCAGGGTCATCATTATGTTGCCTCAGGATATGAGAAAGATTTCTGAGCGTTCCATAACAGAAAATATCAGAGCTATCTCCGCCCATACTTCAGCTTTGCCGCATATAAATTGCTTGGCACTATTCCAAAAATCATTCAGCTGTGAACAAACTTCCATCAGTTTCAAATAATTGCTCTACAACTTTTTCGGCAATATTCAAGATGGCACAGGAACGTCATAGTAAGTACAAATTTTAAAGATTAATTTATGCTTTTAAGAATGTAAAAAATGTACAGCTGATTACAATTGATAAATAGGCTTATAATTTCACAGATGTGCAAAGACAATTTGGTGTGGAATATTCTGCATTCGACGAAATAGATCATTTTGGTAATTAATGTTTCTAGAAATTTTATGGGGATGTCAGTGGCTGAAAATGAAACAGACTGACCCCTCAGTGAAAGAATTTATGAGTATTTATTCGGCCCCCGAGAGACTGAAACCCCGAGACTCACTTTTTGGTGGACGCACGAACGCTTATAAGCTGTACCACAAAACGGTCGATGGGGAGAAAATAAGTTATGTCGATTTCACCAGCTTATATCCGTTCTGCCAGGCCAGGAAAAGGTATCCGATCTGTCACCCTGAGATAA